AGGCACATCAGGTGGGTAATTTGAAGAGAGTGTAGTCTAAAGGACTATACACGGGAGGAATAGAGAACACACAGGGAATTGTACCTTGGCACTAGTAAATGGGTGCTGTCATGAACACTTCTAGGCCTGAAGGCGTGAGGGGAACAGAAGGCCTCCTGACAGGAGCTGTGACCTTCAGGGGAGGGAAGCAGCCAGACCTTGATGACTCAGGTGAGAAGCAGCCTGGGACATTAGTACCTCTACCTCAGTTTCCCCGCCCCCATCCCTGCCTCACTGGCCAGAGGGCAAGGGAAACTCCAGGACCCAGAGGTGAACGATGGATTTGGATCAGCACACGTGCCTTGACTCTTCAGGACACAAGACAACAAACCTATCTGGGCATCGATCTTACTTTATAAGACAAAGACCAGCATTCCTCTACTGTGGTTTGCCAAGGGCGCCCCATAAATGGCAGCGCTTACTGTGACGGTGAGCGGCATTGAACTCCAGAGTCAAGGCGGCGGGTCCAACAGTGTCTGGCTGGTGCAGGCTCCCCAAGGGGCAGGCGGGGTTCAGGGAGGGAAGCTGCTTCTTTCCTCCCGGTGGAGCCCTGCAGCCACGCTGACAATGAATTTCTAATCGCCGCTGTCTGTGTGGCCAGCGGCAGCCGCGCGAGGAGCTGGGCAGATGCCTCGGATAAGGGGTACTGCAGCCAGCCAGAGACCCCCGAGGCGTGGGCGACGCAGGCTCCGGGAGCCCAGGCGCAGCCCAAAGCCCCTCTCAGCGCCGAGGAAGACAGGCTGGGCTTCAGGCGCCGGCAGCCGCGAGCCCCAGCCAGAGCGCCCCAGCGCCGGCGGGCCGAGTTCGCTGCTCGGCTGAACGCCCTCACCTCCGGCCGGGGGAGGAGCGGAGCGCGCGCAGCTGCGAACCCCCGAGGGGCCGCCTGGATGGCGGAGGACGCGAGAGGAGGGCGCGGGTTCCGGAGGTAGGAACTGGGACTTCGGGCCACCGGCGCAGGCCGCCCAGGAAATGCCTCTTTTGCAGTTCCGCAGGGAGAGAGGTGGGGAGTGGACCGGGAGGCTGAGGGTCACCAGGCGGAACTGGCAGGGGGGCGGGGGGCTCGGCAGCTGCTGGGGGCCTCCCCTCCGGAGCCTAGACTCCGAGACATTTCAGGCGGGAAATAAATACAACGGGGATATATTGGCTCAAGGCCTCCACTGTACAGATGGGGAATTTCAGAGCTAGAGAGTGACCTGACTGTGGTCACACAGCGGGGCCGTGGCAGCAGGGCCTGGAGGAAGAGGGAAGAGAGAGGCCCTTTGAGCCGGCCCTACCCCCCACCTTCAGATTAGGCCCCTTAGGGGCTCTAGGTGCACACCCCATTAAGAAAAGCAAAAAACCCGTTGCCACTGAGTCGATTCCGATTAGGACAGAGTAGAACTGCCCCATAGGGTTTCCAAGGAGGAGCTGGTGATTCGAACTGCTGACCTTTTGGTTAGCAGCTCAGCTCTTAACCACTAAAGCCATCAGGGCTCCCGGAGCCCATTAGGTAATCCTAAAACCCACACCAAATAAAACCTAAACCTTGCAGGCGTGCTGATATTGAATTGGCTGCTTTCTAGACTTCCAAGTGCAAACATTTTAAGTTTCTCAAAGGTAAACCTTTCTCCGATTCCGGTGGCCGCGCTTTGCGGATGCCCAGGCTTAGGCCATGGGGGAACTCTGCTCTGCTTAACAATGGTTAAGGGCAGAGGCTCGACCTGGGTTCACCGCCAGCTTTGTCACCAGCTCTGTTGAGCCTCGGGCTCCGCGTCTGTAGAATGGGCAGATGGAAGAGACGGCGTTTGCTCGGAGCTGCTGCCACGCGTGGGAATTTCGGGGCGCAGCTTGGGGCGCCCAAGCACTGCGGGCAGACCAGCTGGGTGGGCGAAAGGGCTAAAGCGTCGAGTCGCCGCCAGGCCCTGCCACGTACCGCTTCTCCGCCTGCCCGGTCGCTGCCCAGGCCCCAAACGACCTGCTGACTTGGGGCTGCAGAGTCCTTCGGCGCCCCGGGTAACGTGAGCTCGCCCATTGTTCTCGGCGGAGGGGACTGAATGGGAGCGGGGTGGGGCCAGGGCGACGACGAAGGCGACTTTGCTCAGGGGCGCTCAGCTCTAAGGGCACCCGGGGAGATTTCCGACACCCACGCCTTTGCTTCTACTTCTTCCCTTCCCTTCCCCTACCCACGGAAAAAAAGTCCCAAATACATCTGGCGGCCTCGATTTACAATCGCTCCCTTTTTTCTTTTACGCTAGACTTCTCTAACCTTCAGGACAGAGAACACTTTTATTAGGATCATCGAAATCCTTAGAAAAAAACTAAGATTCACAGCCTACCAGTCCTGACATTAGACACTTAGAAGCTACAACTCACCTGAACATACACAAATCATAAAACACACACAATCCACAGAAGCCCAGAAACTCATAGCCGCCTAAAGATCGAGAACATAATTTCATTTCCCCCCTAAATATCGTGAATTGGAAGACACACCCTGCGTAGACGCTAACATTTCCCTCTCACATTTCCAAAATAAAGAGACCTGGCTGGTGCTCAGAAACGCATCTGTTCTCATGTTTTTTAAATTAATAATAAGTAAATAAAATTAAGGGTGAATAAGCCACTTCCGAAGAACAAACACAACATCCCAGCAAGAGGGGGAAAGAAAAATTGGAAAGAAATTCTCCCTGAGAATAGAAAAGAGGGAAGAAAATCCACTGTCTAAATTATTTTCCTCTCAACAGTTTCGTAGGGAAGCGTCTTGGGCTCAGGATAGTTAGAATGAGGCTACCGGGACCACCGCCGAGCCCTGTCGGTCGCAGGGTTGCGGATGAGTTCTTTGCACTTTTCTGGGTCACCGCCCCCGCCTCCGGGCACGTTATCAGATCTGAGGTGCTAAAGGCAGACTGGCTTTTTCAGCCCGTTTCGGATGGAGGGGAATTCGACCCGGCCTGGGGCTGCGGGGGCTTGATACTTGGAGACATTTAATCAGGAAAGGAACATTTAGTGGTTCTGGACAGCGCAGCAGACCCACCAAGGCTCTGTTCGGTTCCGCTGCGCCCGCCTGCCCGGACGGTGAAATCCCGCGCGGGCAGCGGCTCCGGGTGAGTCACCTCGTGGGCGACGCTGGTTCCCGGGGTCGAAGCGGTAGCAGATGGTGGGAAGAAGTCGGAAGGAACACTCTGTCCCGGAAAGGCGTGCAGCCCGGCGTTGGAGGCCCGCTGGAACCGCAGGGGCTGGTTAGCAGGATCGGAAAACTTTCTGAACATCACCGGGATAAGCTTGAGGACCCCGAGCTTCCTAACTCCAAATGTCTTGGCAAGAATTCAGCAGGACGCCGCCTCCCCGCGTGCTCCCCGCAGCGAAGTTACAATCCTCCCAAGCCTTGCTGCCCCGCCCCCGCCCCGGCCGTTCTTTTCGCCGGAGATAACAGGGGACGCGGCCTGGAGTGGACTTTGACTATTAAATAAGTACAACTCAGTGATCGATTTGCTCCAAGTCGACGTTAGACTTTAAAAAAAAAAAAGGTGAAAAAAGCGACACCTAATAATTGTGTCAGAGATCACGAAACCAAACGCTCCTAAATGGAGACCTTTCCTAAAATAAAGGAGAATGTTGGCTTTCATATTTTTTTCAGGGAAGAGAGAAGATAGAAAAATTTCTCAAACCTAAGGTTCCCAACAAACCCATATCCGGATGAGACTTTCTACACGTGACTTTCACACTCACTTTTCGACGAGGAAACGTTTACTGGACTTCGTTTCCCTGTGAATTTCTCCCTTCTCGCCCCCCTCCTCCATGCCCTGACCTTTTCCGGGTAGTTTGGGCGACCAGGAAGATTTTTTTCACGGGGAGTTTATGCTGACCCCAATTAACAGGTAGCCCAAGGGAGATCAACTCCTGGCAAAGAATAAGAAGAAAAGACTTTAAAAAAAAAATCGACAGCGATTTCCAAACTTGTTTTCTTAAACTTCTTAAGCCGGTGCCTGTCCCGGAAGGGCTCCCTTCCGAATTCTCGGCTTGGGCTGGGCGGGTTTGTGGGCTGTTTGCATCTTTGGCCAGACTTTCCCCTCTCCAACCCTCTCCCCACTCGTCAACACACACACACATCACGAGCCTGCCCGCGACATCTAGGTCGGGGACTTGCGTCCCGATATCTGGGCGCTACAGCGAGGCTGGCTCCAGGGGAGCAAGTGCGGAAATGCAAGCGGGTGCCAAAGCGCACCACTCGGCGGGGTCGAACTTCTCCCAGCACTCAGTCACTCCAGCATCCTTCGGATCATCAGCTACTGTCACCAGCCCCTGGCTCCGCCCCTATGAGCCCGCCCCTTGCCCCACAGCCAATAGTAATCACCGATCGCTCTCCACCGCCCCAAACGCTTTCCACACCCCCATGTCGCGGGAGCCGATTGGTTGCTGAGCCCTCGGCGAAGCGCCCGTATTTGCATGGAGCTCGGGGTTTCTGGTAGGTGGAGAGAGCCGTCACTCCGTAAAGCCGGACCCGCCCACTCCACCTCGGCCGGGGGCTCCGTTCCTGCGCAGTTCTTGTCTGCAGCCTCCGCGGGCAAGTGCCGGGGCTGCTCTCAAGGCTCAGGGCTCGGGGCTGCGAGGAGGCAGCCCCGGCGAGCAGCCGTGCGCACCATCTGGAGTGGCCAGGGCGCGGGACAGCAGCCTTCTCCTGGCCCGCAGCGGGGCGTTGCGCGCTGGGAGCAACCCCTCGGCCAGCAGTCGCCGCCGCCTGACTTTCCGTTCCAGTTGCGGCTCCTCCCCGGGCAACATGTCAAGAGCCGCCGCCGCTATAGCTGCCGCCGCCACCTGGGGAAAAACAGCAGCAGCAGCAGCAGCAGCCTCAGCGGCGGCTGCGAACGCGCGGGAGCAATAAGCCGAGCCGCCCGGGCGTCCAGCGGGCCAAGGAGTCCTCTCCATGCTCACTGCTCCGGCGGGCCCCCGCGCAATGTGCTGAGCCATGCCCCTCGCCGCGCCCGCGGGCAGCGCATGGGGCAGCGCCTGAGCGGCGGCCGGTCCTGCCTCGATGTCCCCGGCAGGCTCCTGCCGCAGCCGCCGCCGCCCCCGCCGCCGGTGAGGAGGAAGCTCGCGCTGCTCTTCGCCATGCTCTGCGTCTGGCTCTACATGTTCCTGTACTCTTGCGCCGGCTCGTGCGCCGCTGCTCCGGGACTGCTGCTGCTTCGCTCGGGGTCCCGCGCCGCCCACGCCCCATCAGCCCTTACTGTGGCTCCTGACGGGACGCCCCCCAGGCTGTCGTTCAGGGCGCCGCCGGCCACCCCGCTGAGTGTGGCCAAGGAGGCGGCGGAGGGCGCCGCGAGCCAGGAGGAGAAGAATACCGACGCGTCAGACTCCCCCAGCCCCATATCCAGCTTCTTCAGCGGGTCCGGGAGCAAGCAGCTGCCGCAGGCCATCATCATCGGCGTGAAGAAGGGCGGAACACGGGCGCTGCTTGAGTTCCTGCGCGTGCACCCTGACGTGCGCGCCGTGGGCGCCGAGCCCCACTTCTTCGACCGCAGCTACGACAAGGGCCTCGCCTGGTACCGGTAAGTTTCCCCGCGCTGGGCAGGGACGCCAGCAGTAATCCCGCACCGCTCAGCCCTTTCTGCACTCGGTAGAGAAGGGAGACGTGGCATGTGTTGGAGAAGTGGCAGGGGCACAGCTTTGGGCCACCGGGGGCGGGGAGGAGACGCCGAGAATCCGCCCCAGCGGGGTCCGGGTGCACCAGGTCTGCTCTTCCCGCAACCCCTAGAACTTCTCGCAGCGCCCTGGCGCCTTAGTGGCCCGTCAAGCCCTAGAATTAATCAGGCGACCTCGCCGCGTTGAAGCGGGGCAGCAACTGCGACCGAGCTCAGGGAAGCGACTCAGTAACCGTGGCCGTGTCCCATATGAATCAATCCAGTGTTGGTCTTATTTTATTTTCCCTCTCAGAACCCGGGGTGATGGGAAGATTGTGCTGCGTCCCGCCGGTCCAGCCTGCGTCCTAGACCAACTTTTAGAACAGCTTCTGCTCCCCGCATGGGCACGGGGGCGGGAAGGACGGCGTCCTGCCCGGACAGCTGAGAGTATTTTAACTTTTTTGTGATTGTGTTGCTGGGACCCAAAGATAGGCAGGACCCGCTTCGCTCACGAGTGCTTGGGCTCTGAAGGTTGAGCACGGCCGGCGGCCCGGCGTTTCCTCCTGGCAGCGCGCGGCGCGTGGAGCGGTGCTGGTCCCTGTCGGGCAGAGGCGCGCACTGCAGCCGCCGGGAGCGGCGTGCAGCGTGAAAGGCTTCGCAGCGCCGGGGGCAAGGCCCTCGCGTTTGCACCTCTCGGGCCCAGGTGCTGGGACAGCGTAGGCAGGGGCGCGTGCTAACGCCAGTCCTTTTCCACGTCGCGGCGCAAAGAATATTTGTGGTCCACTGATTGAGAAATGCAGTTTGCCCCGGCTCGCGGCTTCCATAAACTCTCCTCTCGCGTCGGGTCGAAGGTACAGTTCCAAAGCGGCGGCGTAATCACTACCACAGCCCGCCGCCCCCTGCAGCTACTTACTGGTCTTTGGGGCGAGCTGTTGGGCTGGCCCGCGGCCCCGACACCTCTCCAGGCCCAGTTAGCCCAAAGAGGATCGGGACTTTGGAAAACAAAAGGAGAGAAGCTAACCAAACCCCAATCCCTGTCCCACCTCCCGCCTCCTTTCGAAGAGGGGAGAGAATGGACGATAAAAGGGGGCCAAACGTTGAGTATGTGGGCCTGATCGAGCGAATTAAAACCGCGCCTTTCCCAGCCTCTCCCTCCCTCCTCCCCTTTGTATTTAATGTTGTTTATTATTGTCAGGAGTTGCCCAAGTCTCGAGGGTTAGCCTGGCGTGACAGTCACCCTTCCACCGGTCTCGGGCCGTGGACACCGGAGATTAAGCATGGGGCCTCTGGCGTGCGATGCCCAGATTCGAATCTGGGTTCTGGCCACTCGCTGGGCCCATGGAGTCTCAGTTCCCACGTATGTGCAGAGGATATAAGGCGGGGGGAGTAAATGCGCTGGTGCCGGTCAGGTGCCGGGCACACGGGGGCCCCCTCGCATTGTTACTGTTAACCGATTGTGTTGTTGCCCTTTTTACTTCTCCCCCTACCATCCCTCCTCCTCCTCCTGGGATGATGATTCTGGGGCAGGGACGGCAGGCTATAACTAGCGCCCTTCCACGTAGAACCCGGCAGGGCCCGAGGCACCGGGATTTCCTGAGATCAGACGCACTTGGGGCCGGATTGGGAGGAACTGACAGGAAAATAACCGAACCCTTACTATCAGGCGGTTCTAGAAGCCCCCGGGGCGGGCTCTGGAAATCCCCACCGGAAGATTCGTGCAGTCTCTTCGGCTGCTGTCCTCCACCTGCCACGTTTCTTTTGATTGGCTCGGAAATACCGAAGAAAGACTGAAGTAGCCCAGGAAACCCGCGCCGCGAGCTTGCCTCGAGGAGCGCAGTCCGGGAGCCACCGGAGGGAAAGTCGCCTGGCGGCTAGGCTGGGAACCGTGGGGCCTGACCTGACCGCGGGAGGCGGGAAGCTCACGATCCTCTCTGCCAGCTCTGAGGGGCAGGACTGCCGGGGCGGAAAGCACAGGGCCCGCGGGCGGTGACCCCACGCAGCAAGCTGAAGACGCGGCAACTTGACCCAGACGCGGCTTTCCGCCGCTGCCCCAAAGGGGTCGGGCGTGGCTGCAGGGCGAGTGAAAGTTAAGGAAAATTAAAAAAAAAAAAATAACATCTGCTTAATTAACATTTCGGAAAACTAGTTTAAAATATTCTGATGTCTGAGCACAGGTATGGACTTCACAGGTACTTTGTAGGCAGCCCTTTTAACTGTAAACAGACCTCACCCGCAGGAGATCTCTGGCCCAGAGCTCGACCACACTGCCCGGAGTCCGCCCCGCGAGCTTCCGGCGTCCGCGCCGAAGTTTTCGCCGCCTGGCCAAGCCCTGCTGCCCTCCAGACGTGTGCGCGGTGGTACCCAGCACCTCCGTGCAAGCAGAAGCCGAGGGGAGAAGAGTACAATCATTAGCCAGGCAGAGTTGCAGGTCAGAAACGTCGTTAAACTGGTCTTTAAAACTAGGAAAAATGAGAGATGAGAGATGTTTTGGAGGCATTTAGGACAAAAACTCCGGGCATGGATGGTGGAGTCCGAGGGACAGCATTGAAATCTGTTTGAGAACGAGGCCCGGGCAGTGTCTACTGGAATCCCAGTGCTGAAATCGTTAATGGGTAAAAGCGGTTGAGACACAGTCCTGGTAGTGGCCTAACCAGTGGCCCAGGCTGGGCAGATTTGCATGATGCCTCGGAATTTGATTGTACTTCCTTCCACTCGGTATAAAGATACCATTAGCCTGAACAGGAGAGGTCTTGGTGGGATGGAGCCCGGCACCGGCCAGAGACTGGGGGTTTTCTGCCACCTTAACCGGCCGCAAAAAAACAAACGTACTGGTACGCGCTGTCCATCTGCACTGGAACCCGAGTTTGTTTTAGTTTGGGATTAAGACTCTTCTGGGTTTACTTTTTCAGTTCATAACCAACCCTTGCTCGAATCAGGCCTCCCAAATTTAGCAGGTGCTGATGAGGACTCCATGGAGTGGTGCGTGGGACGATCTGGTGGAACTGGCCTCACCTCTGTTCCTCGGGTGTTGGAGAAACTTGGGGCTGTGGTCAAAGAGAGCGTCACAAAAGGGAAGGTCGAGAGAAGCACTGACCACATACATTTAGGCTCTGAATATTGATTTAAACTTTGAATGGTGCAAAATTAAATATATATATTCTTTAATAAGTTTCTCTCTTTGGTTTGTCTTAAGTTTAGATAGTGGTATGTTTCAAGTAACATATTTTCTTGAATTTTAATGAGCTTAGTTTGGGAATCAAGTTAGCCAGATCTTTTCTGATGATTATTATTTTGTATACAGAAATATGTGTTAGACTTTGGCAGAACCTGTTCTTCCTCTTTGGCTCCCCTTTCCATTTTTGGTTATACAAAATATCTGACACTAATTCTGTGCCCACATTAAAGAAAGTATAGTGAGTGTGTGTGTGGTTTAATAACCATGGTAGCTGCTGAGCATTTCGCTATGTTCCAGTCACCGTTTCAAGTTTACAGGATTAACAAATTGAATCCTCATTACAACCCTGTGAAGTAGGTACTTTAAACCTGAGGAAGCACGGGCACAGAAAGGGTAAGTAACTTGCCCAAGTATCACAGTTAGGAAGTGATATGCTAGTTTACCAACCCAGGCAGCTCTGCTCATGCACCACCCTCCCTCCATGAAGTGACCAAAATGTGATGTCAGTCATGTGTGATGAGTTCAGAGCTGGGCTTGCTTTAAGAGTATGACAGTTTTCTGTAGACCTCAATATCCATCGCTCACTTTGTCATTCACTTTAAAAGAGTATCAACTGCAGTAAAGGCTACTAAATCCAAAGTTGGTTTGTAAGTAGAGTGAGGATAATTACATCATTGTGGCAGTTTAATTTCCCTGCACAGGACTGTTAGAATCAAAGGAATTACTAAAATGACAAAAAAAAAAAAAAAATCCCTCAAGTATAAGGGCTGAGAAAATATGGTGAGGATCCCTCCTAAAGAGTAGATTTATTCTTCTCCGTTTGCCCTTTGTAAGGCTGAGAGGTGTGGGAGGACAGCGGGGTAAGTGACATGTTTCAAAACTTCTTGGAATGAAATTATTCGTTTAAAAAATACAGTGCTCAAGTCAAGACTGAATACTTAATTTATACTTATTAACAGGAAGACATTTATAACTAACACTTTGAAGATATTTCTTTACAATTAGATTCTAAAATCCGGTAACATCAGAAATTACTCCCTTGAAAGCTAATAGCTGAAAATGGCAACTTTCCCTACATGTTTAATTTAACAAAGGCTGGAAAAACGAATTTTTCCTATTTCCTCATCTATTTCTAAACACCTGGTGGCAAAGACTATTTGTGTCTTCACTGAGGGAAATTTAAGATGAAGTCTGATTGGGGACAATCCCTTTTGAAATAATTACACTCCTTCCTGGAGTTTAAGCCATATATGCAGCTAACTTCCAAGCTGCTAGGTGAAGATCAGAAATCTCCATTTATATGCAACAATTTGAAATACAAACCATCATGTTGCAAAGCTGTCAAGATTTATTAGCAAGACAGTGTAGCATGTGTTGAACTCTGTTTTTAATTAGGTGCCTAAATTAGACCATAAAATGGTTGATTAATCTTTTACGAGTTGAGAGGAAAATATAACATAAATTACCTAATCATAAGTGTTTTCCCAGATGCTGAGTTAATAAAATAGTCAATATTTAATAGCAACCTATTTGTTTTAGACAAATAAAATGCTGAAATACATGAATTAAATTACACCTATTATCTACCAAATGATACATTATTATTGAACAAGTCTCTAAAAATTAGGTTGCTGCCCATGTCTTAAAAGTATACTTATCAAAAGAGAATACTACAATTAGGAATTAAATGCTGACTAAACTAGATTCTGCTTCTTTTTTTTTTTTAAATGGAGTTTGTCGAAAATTTATAATG